CATAATCTAAATAGTAATTGTTATTATGGCTTTACTATAAAGGTAAACGTTTTAATTGCCCTAGCGTTTGCTGATATGTTATTGTTGTGCCGGTGTTGCTCACAGGCGTCTATAGTACACTGTAAATGTATATGGCAGTAAGACTGTATTCTTAGTAATGACAAAAATTTAATTGTTAAAGTACTGTTTCAGGATGAGTTCCTCTCGTTTAGTTGTCTCTTGTTAATTAAACGTTCGAGAATAGCTGCAACACTGTTACTTCGGCGCGTTCACAACAAAAGCTTCGCTTCAACCAACATTAGGCGCTTTTGGCTTCGTATAGAGTATTGACTGCTTCCAGGGCCGCACGGTGTTGATCAGGCGACAAAAGATCCGTCGGAGCGTGTCTGCCAGGAATACGAAAGAATATCATGAATACAAAGTCAGATAAGACAGTTCAGAAAAAAAGGCAATACAGACTGTGGCTTAGAGCAGCTGCGCGTGGCAAACGCATTAGAAAAACGACGTAACATTGCAGGATATGTGACATTGAACATAGCCATAAATATCCACTGCAACTAAATAGACGAATGGAACATTTAACTTAACGGTGGTGATTGAATATCCAAAATCGATGCGTATTCAATCATCTGCGAGTGTTTTGCTAATGCTGTTTGTTTAACAAAGACTTGAACGCGGCGTCTGTGTTGGCGACCATATGTTGCATAGATATCGACCGTCCTATCGGTTACATGGTATTGGAATAGATGTTGTAAAAATCGCTATCTCGTCGTTATTATAGCGACCCGCCTATAAAGCAAAGTGTGTGTATTCCCAGTTTCTAATCTAGACCATCATACATGTGGCGACGTTTATAGGGCAAATAGGGTTTAAATGTGGCATCACGAGGATAGGCACCATATTATATAAACAATTGCTATCTTAAGCGTATGCATGATAGTAATTATTCTTTTTGGATTACCATTTTGCTCGTTGGATCATTGCATTGGAAAATTTGTTTCTTCTTAGTTTCATATGTTAAAATGGACATGATGAACAGTTGGAGCAAAACGCGTACCTTCAAATACGAAGCCAACAACGTTGAATTTAGCTTCTAGTACCATTCGTGAAGTTAGCGGCGGTTTTAGTCGGCATAATCAATCTTTCCTAACCAATTTTTGTTGACCTTTACTTCGAAGGTTTTGCCGAGAATGTCAAAAACGTCTCAGATTAGATCAAGCTCTTATCTGAAGTTCTCGTAACCCAGCAGCCCTGCGTGCGTCCACAGGTGACGTTTTCCGTTGATTGCTGCGAGAACATTTCTCTTCCCATAGGTCGAACAAGTTGCTACCAGCCCTCACAGCCAGTCATTGGTAGTCTAGATATACGCGCAATGATATATATGCACATATAGAACCCTATTAATCTCTAAGACATATATGAGACAAGCGTAAGTGTTCAGTTAAAATTATTTCGATGCATTGTTAATAAAGCGCTATAGGATCACAGCTTCTGCGTTTCATTGGCCTAATAAATTGTTAGCGATCTTCATGTTACGATTGATCTATGCTAATTTGGTAAATGGGCTGTATGCTTGTAAGCCGTCCCCTGTCTAAGGAAGCACTGGTCGACGAATTTTTTTTCGGCAAGAGCGCTACACCCTGGTCAGGCCGCAACTCTCGACGTTGCTGCAATAATCGGGTATGTTTGTTGAAGCTTATTTAGAAGATACTTGACTTCGTTAATCTTTGTTGACGATCTTCGAGCCAGTACTTTGTTCTTCAAAGAGCTGCAGATTCCAGTAGAATTTTTGTTAAAAGCTAAGTTTTTTTTCACAGTGTAAATTGCTCGATACATTGTGTCCCAAACCATAACGCCAGCTGTTGTTTTTCTGGAACTATGTGGTTTTACAACTGAATGAAAGGAGATTTTCGAAGCGGAAACGCTATATAGCTGAAGCAATAAGCACGCTATGAAGGTGAATCAATACTTGTCATGATCCTGATGCACGCTGCTTTTCATTTATCCAGCCGTTTTTTTCGAATTTTAGGACAAATCTTTAGGCTGGAAAAATCTCAAAAAATACGTTTAGATACTACTGCGAAAGTTGTACTCAGTTTTTACCCAGCAGAACAGGACAAATATTTTAATGTGGCTGACATTGCTGGTACCGTGTTCCCAGCTTTGTGTGCTGTAAACTCTATAGGAACACAAGGCAGGTAGAGTTTTGAAGAAGAAATAGACTTTTAGTTGAAGTAGCAGTAGTAGTGAAAATATTGTATCTTCATTTTCAAACTGTAGATCTACTTATGTTTACCCTAGTCTTCGCTCTTCAAGAACAATTCAATGTATGCCTCTCTTCTACGTATTTAACAGTACTACACTGATCGGACAGCATGGAAAAAACATTTCATTCAAAAATTGTGTTTTTTTTTTGGAAAAAAGTTCTCTTTATCAATGCAGGCTATTCTATTCGAGTACTGTGGCCTGTGGCATGGACTGCAGGACAAGTGCGAAAGACGGTTGGTACTAACAAACCCCAAGAAGAGTAAAAACATATATACACATTTAATCACAATGAAGAAGTCACCTCAGTAATAAGTTGACACACCGCGTACTAAACGCCGTACACTATGGTATTGAGCCGTACGAGACACTGGACGGACGGAAAAATGATGACTGTAAAATACGGTCGAATTTTTTTACGCAATATAAACAATCCGTTCTGGACACGATGTTGATCTATTCGAAAATATGCCCTTTGTGTCGCGCAGTAAATCTACGCGTGACAACAGTTATCTTAGAGTGACCACGATCGTTGCAGCCATTATTTCATTAGACGTTCCATAAGTTGGCGATTAATGGAATAGAACATTCGATTTCCAGCTAAAGAACAAATGGAAACGTAGAGATTGCGTTTTTGATTTTTGCCTATAGCCAAATTTCGTACGTGATAGCAGGCCGAACGCTGTATCGACTATCGTATTTAGCTTTTAGTATCTAATTTTTCGCCGTAACAATTTTAGTGAGTTTATTAAAAATGTGATAAAAACAATTGTTAGTATCCCAGCATTTGGATACACAACAACGTATCATCATCAGCTTGGCTCTGAGCAAAGGATTCAAACGTGCCGCAATTACCATCCGACTCTGGATTTTTTGGGTAAATTGTGTAGAGACAACTTTACAAAGTCATGACCGTTCTTTGGTGTTGGCCCAGTATACAAGGTAGATGAACCGGGTTTCTCAGAACCAACAAATTGTTAGTACTTTATTTAGTAGTAGTTATTTAAATGATGGTCTTCGTTTCAAACGATCTCTGCTAAACGCTTTGTATTAACGCGGTATTTTCGATAGATTTTTTTACGAACCTAACTCTGTACCGACACTGCGTCACGATAGTTCGTTTTAGAACGTATTGTAGTTATTCTCTATATCATTAAGTACAGAATGTGTACCTATCATATACGATATTTATATTCATATCAATTCATTGACGTATTAAGCCTCTCTCCTCGTATGCTGGTTTCGGCTACGAGCGTTTGTAAACGGCACATCGAAGGCAAGAGCGAAATTCGTTCAAAGTAGGCTATTCCCGCGGATTCAGAGTTTGTCCACGCGTCGCATTTTATCATATGGCCTGTAATGGCAACAGACCTTAATTTTCTTTCGATGCAATAACATTACGATCAAATTGTGTCTATGCTAGGAACTATATTAGGGCGATCTCTGCACAGCCGCGTATACAAGAAGTGACTCGCCTGGCCTCCTGTTATAGTTAGGAATGGCCTGACCAATTTCGAGTAGATCAGAACCGTATTAGCTTTGATAGCGGGCATTTTTAGGCGAACTCCTCCTAACTGCTATTTGTAACTTACAGGACAACAGCAGCAGCATAACTTATAACTAAACGTTGCTACGGCAAACTTCGGCATCTCTGAAAATGGGCCTCTACCCACTCAGTCGTAACAGTGCGACCAATTTCAGAGAAAATCGATTTCGTAGAACATCCTCGCTCTCGCTGTTCGCCATTGTTTGGAGTGACGATGTCGTTGATCCTCTAGCCATCGCCAATGGCAACGGTAACAGTGATATAGCTATATTTGTGGTCAGGAGTACCTGTGTCTGTTGGGTGGTGTTAAAGGCGTCACAGTGATCAGCCTCTCCTTCATCCGTCTACTATAATCCATCGTGATGACGCTGATGGGCATTGTAACTGTGTTTTCGTTCAATAGCCCTTGTGTAATGTCGAGGCCAACAGCAGCGATGGTAGTGGTAACGCGGCCCGATTTCCCATAGTTAGCTCCGCCGATCAGAATCGCTGTTTTACCAATAGATATTGGAGGACAGCTCATGTATTTCACACCGTTAAACCGTGAGATGTACATAGGTAAATAAGTGTTGTATAGGCATTTGTTATGTTGTTCCCGCCATCCATATATTTTATCTATAGGTCGACATCTTAACAGTAGCTCTCTATGCCCAGACGCTTGGTCTCGCAGATGTAGCCAACAGAACTAATATTGTCCGCAGGAGCGAACGCTGAAGTACACGATGAGCTACCGATGCTCAGGTACACACGTGCAGATGGCGCTTTGCGCTTTCATTCGCCTAGCCTCTTCAACATCTCGACTATGGAAACATGTTATAGCGCCGTATTACATATCAGACGACTCTAAAATCATGCACGTTTTACGTACGATAGCAATTCTTCTAATTCCCACTAGTTCACATAAGTACGTTTAGAATTAAATGACTTTTTGTCCTGAAATCGCTGAGTAGGACACTGGCATGTTTGTTGTCTACAGTTTCTTCTACAGATCTATAAATCAAGAGTAATTTTGCGACGCATTCTAAGAAACGAATGCTATTACAATAAACGTTTAACGAATAGCAGCTAGTGGAGTGAAGTGGCTTAGTAACCTATTCTAGGTCGTTTATGTATAATATCTTTGCTCTGGGCGAAAAGCCTCCGGAATAGCGTTATGATAATGCCTTTCGGTATCTTCTGTTGTTTACAGACGGATTTTAGCCGACCTCACGCCTTTCCGACAAATATAGTCGACAACAAAACTCAAGCTGCCTTACAAGCTGGGTTTGGTGAGTACTTTATTGATACGCTAGCCATTTTGTAATGTAATTTAGTGCGTTGATTAACATTGTTGGAGGTAATTTATGATTCATTTAAATTACAGGGGCCAGAGTAAATTTTTAAACGATTTTCAAACTTTCAGTTTTAAATGATTCTACCGTTTTCTTAATTTCGATGTATCTTTGCTAGGACTCGGAATGTCTCTTAGAGCCAGTGAAACTACAACTATTGTTGCTTTCCTTTATAAAATTTCTAAATAAATGCTCCCAGTTTTACGCCCGATAACGCCGTTGAGCATTGCTTCAGACGGTTATCTCTCAGCTCGACGCAAAGCGTGTCTTCGTCTGGTTTCAAATCAATGCTGAATACCCGATGAATTTTTAAACAAACAAATATATTACGCCACCATGAGAATACATTTCTTGCAGGGAAATTTCAAAGTTCTTGGCTATCTATGTCATTTTAGAGTAAAGCATAATAATCTCAGAGAGTACCTGTTATTTTGTGAGGAAAGGAAGAAGGAACAGCCTAGACGCACGTTGTAAAATATCTGTATTTGCAGCTTATAAGAACCAGTGCATATCTGTGCCCTAAAAGTGACTGAATGATCATTAAATGACTTTAAACGATGGAATGTTTGCCTTCGTGATGAATAGGCCATAGTTCAGTATGCAAATAGTAACTGCATAGGCACAGAATAGTGTTAGTGAAGCTTCCCATAGTTCCAAACCGACATCAGGGTGTCACTGTGAAAACTGACGAATGCTGAAGGGTATTTTCAGCCTCACTGGAGCACTCTACGCCTCCGTGTCATGACTGTACTAACAGGCAAACGGCACCTAGTACTGAAATTGAGGTTGCCAGATTTGACAGAGGACTTTGACAACTCTGGCCAAGCACTGGCATGAGCGTCGTCTATCGCCCTGGTAAAGGTAAAATTTCCACGAAACAAGTGTGATTTAGATCAGGTCTGCAAAAATTAATTCGTAAGAGCTATTCGGGTCCTTGAACTAAATACATTGCTTCGATTATTGTCCTCGTAAGTAACGTAACATTTTCAATTTGTAGTAGCTTTTCTGAGCTGGCCCTAATAGTTGAAAACGTCGGTGCTACAAACGTATACCCATTGTTTGCAAATGACTACTATTGAGTAATAGGTAGCTCACGAAGTACTACATACATTAAGTGCTCCGTCTAGCGGAATCGGCTTCACGTTATACTAATATGGAGCGAGATGTCTACAGCATAGCATCGTGCGACGAACCGCAGCGCCCGTAATTAAGAAGCCAAGACAAATAGTAAAAGTAGCTTTGGCTATTGCGAGCTTTCATTGTATATTTAAATTAATGACAGACTCGAAATAATGGAGCAGTTCCACGCTTCAAATCGATACTGTTTATGTCCTCATATGAAGCGGGTGGAATCCAACCTATGAAAAATTAGCAGTCAGCCGTATTTTTCGTTTTTGTTGTCCGCACACGTTTACGTGCTATTATTATTATGTGGTTGAACTTAATGCAAATCAATTTCAACTTTTCCGTAACTGAATGTATTCATACGCTCCATTAGCAACTATAAAAGATTTCCTGCATCTACGTAAGCTTGAGTAAACGTTTCGTATCAATGTGAGGCGCTTTAGAGGCCGCCATAGATTCTTTAGAACTTTGCTTGCCGCGGTGTCCATTGTATAATCTAGTATCTCCGCGGGTACATAGTCGTTCCGTACGCTAAGTATGCTACGCGTTAGCCACGTCAACAGTCAAACGTTTCTATCGCAGTGGTATATGTATCTGTACGAATACAGTGCGGCTGACGCCCCACGGTGATAGGGTAGTTCACTCTGCAGTTTACACGAACGCCTCAGATATACGTTTATTAATTAATAGTAATAATCGGATACTTTCCGGTAACTGACGGCCTTTTCCTTAATTCATTAGCCTTCTAACAGAACTTCGGTTAATTAACCCTCCTTTGATATTCAATGAACAGATCGGCGTTCATATTCTGTCCAGATGCCATTCTGACAGACCTCATGCTGTCGATAAGTTCCCATTCGTGTTTAGATAATTTAATCAATTTCAGAAAACGAACCCATGCTACTTATGGCGAAAATTTTAGCGGTTATCGCATAGATAATATACACGCACAGATATATACGTGCTAGTATAGTACAGACGATGTGTTGTGAGGAGAGAAAAAGTGGGATATTTTATAATACTGCAGTATCACGCCGACTTATTCATAAAACCTTTTGATGACTGGGGCAGAGTTGTATGTGGGCAGGAGAGACCGAACGTGGCCTGAAAAATCGGTGTTGCTGGGTCATCAACGAGGGCTAAACAATTGAGTTCATTTGGGAAATTGCTTGCGCTTCCGCATTGTAGAATGGCTAAGCGTGCGATATGGCGTGGCCGATTCGCTGGTAAACTGGATTTGAGCCAATACGTGAATTGTTTCCGTTGGCCAGTGTAGCCTTAGGGGAGATCGAAAATGTCCATTCGCAGTAATTAGTGACTAATCTGATGAGTCCCCATAGTTTAATTAATGTTAGAGACAAGTGGACCTTTCATGTTGGGTGGCTTGCTTGGGATATCGTCAACCGCCTGCAAAGATTTTCTGACTCCATATACCTACGCACACACGATCGTGCGTGTACATGTACGTATTCATAGATGGACAGACGCATATAATGCACATCTGCAGAAGTCCGTTGACAAAACGCACACGTATATTTGCTTGCCACCGAAACCGTCTCCTTTGACTGATGTCAGTTGGGCGGTAATGATTTAAATATTTACTGGCGTGTGTAGATTATGTTCGGACAAAGACGCAGAAAAACGCGCTTAATTGTTACTGAACACGCTTTTGTGTAGTGAGCTTATTGATAATGATAATACTGAACACTGCAAAGCTGGATTGGAGCGAACCTCATGCCAATCTACCTATCCAAAAAATAGAAAACATGTATAGTATATTGTGCAAATTCGACATTAAGAGAATGATGCACATATTGAAATGAGTCTAGGAAACATCTGCTGACATTTGTGGATAGCAAAAGCTCCGATAGAAGATGTTTTGGCGATCTCTCTACGTTCTTCAACCGCATCTTCAACTGACCATATGGCACTGGCTCATTTGTGGTGTGTCCGATGATGACGTTCCAGTTAGAAAACCTAGGTGAATCAGACCAGCTCTGGGTCTATAAGCCACGTATTTCCTATGCCCAAGCCAGACAATGAAATATACTAAAAACTAGCTGTATACGATTCAATTAAAATTCGCTTCATTCAAATGTACAGGCCCCGAGGACGCGTCAGTTCGAAGCGGTTAGGATCAATCAATCAATCACCACATAGCAGTCCTATTTAATACAACTAACATCTAGTTAGATTACTATCTGTTTAAGTCAAGTAGGCTTTCAATTATAGTGAAGGGCAATTCCGTATAGGGAAGGACTAGATGTTGCAAATGGTATTAATAGACATAATTATAGTTTGGCAATTGAAGCATAATAAGAGGTGCTGTTCGTCTGCCCTTTTTGTGCGCTTGTTCCCACGGGCCCAGTGGCTTGTCATCTACATCTGGGGTTGTTAAGGGTACAACCAAATCACTTCAAGTTCTGTATTCGAAACAGTTACCGGCAGGTAAGCTACTCAGAGTTTCTTAAATTGTATTTCTAGCCACTTACATACACCTAAGCAGCGCGTGATATTTAGACGCTGAGTGCTAGTAATCGCTGAAATCCATGAATGGCAGAAACTAGCAACATACCTTTATTACATTACTAATTTGCTAAAGCGGACTAAGGGCCGCAATGAAATTGTTTGTGAATATACGTGACTATATTGGGATTCAAAGCCAGTTAGAGCTCTTTCCGTCGGCGAACTTGCTTTTACAAGTGACTGACGTATCAGAGACTAGGGGGTTGGGAACTCCCAGTTCACAGTACTTTCTGTTTTCGGCAATAGTACGAATTTTTCGTAACAACGGTAGATTGTGCGGAAGAGTATGCTACGGCTGTCAGCACAAGCAGCGCATCACGTACGGCGATATGATTTGTTCGCACAGGACTAAAACAGTGTAATACAGTTACTGACGATAAATTTAGTTTTACAAACAATAGTAGCAGTGGGCCTGCTATGCGATGGCTTTTATTTTAAAGCGGTCCGTTTTCTGCCCGACAATTTCTGTTGGGGCAAAACAATAAAACATATATGCGTCCCCTTCCATTGCATACAATAGCATAAAGTCATTAGCAAGACAATGAACAACTGCAAATAATTTAAATTACGCAATAAAGGAAAAAATCAGTTATTTTTTTTTAGTCAGAGAAAAGGTGTTCTAAAGAAAGTTTACTCATTTAACCGTAGTCGCAGTAAGCGCAGCTATTGTCGTATTACTAGACATCGTACACGGAAAGTATCAACGGTGGCATAACATTATCGCCGGCGGTGTAGATGTTCCTACAACCTTCGCCACTTGTCATTTTTTGATCTCCTACAGATACAGCCCTGCTTCCCTCTTGGTTGTTTTCCATCGATGGCTTTTTGGCATTTTATTTTTCTGCGTCAAAGTTTCACTGCTTCCAGCCTCTAGATTCTTTTTGTTGAATTTGTACGTTTCCACATCTGGTGATAGGACAGACAAGCAGTAGACGGAAAACAGCGAGCTTTAATGAATGATGCGGTACATACCTTTTGTTAAGGCAGTTTTATATATATATATATATATATATATATATATATATATATATATATATATAGAAAGGAGTACGATTATTTATATACGTAAAGACGTTTATGGAAAGGATATTAATTCATTTACAATACTCAATTGCTACTCAACTTGGCCTTGTCATTGCTGTTTGCTTATCGTATAGCTGGATTATGAGAATTTCGGCAGGAATCCAAGTGTACTACCAAATAATCAGTTTTAACTACACCAAGAACGCTACTCCAAGCTGTCCGTCTAATAATGCGTTAAACACTGCATCAGGCAGCTGTCGCCC